TTTRATATTCAACTTTTTATCCGTAAATATGACCAATTAGGTTTTGTTTCTTTTGATATATTACCAAAAAAAGTTGAATGATAATAGTGTAGAAACCGAATTTGATGTCCTACCAATTGTCCGTTAGTGATCCTTTCTTCAATTTGTTATCAAAGCATATTGTAAAATATATGTACATATATGGATTATGGTATCCTCTATATATTAATTGAGGAGACACTAAATGAAAAAAATCATATGTGTCATTCAAAGAGGATTTTAAAGAACACATCAATTAAATTAACCAATCAAAATATTTTAATTAATTATATATGCCATGTTGGAAATTTTTCCATATTTATATTGATTTTTAATATAAATTCACAAATACATATGTTGTTAATTTAAATCCAACTAAAATATAACATGTTAGTATTTTAAACGTTATATAACATAATGTTTTCACGATTAATCATTTACTGATGTCAATTACTTTATAAAAATTATACTTATGTCCATTTTAATACCATATATGATTGATCATACAATTAATTTCTTTTATATCGTTTAATTGAATTCATATTACTCTAATTAAAGTTGTGCTTTTGTTAGTAACATACAATTTGCAAAATCAAAAACATTAACGCGTGAATTACAAAAATCATCATTTTTGAAATTGCAAGAACCAAAAAACCCTTTTTCTTTAGAAAACTCTAACTCTCAAGTTCTGATTTTCTAAAGAGACCATCGACCTTTGATGCCTTTTTTACAATTTTTTTTTCTAAGACAAAGAATTCTTTCCTTTCTTCATAATCTTGAATTTCCTTTCTTCATGTATTTCCTTTTTTTTTTCTAGCTTCTACAAGCTTATAAGATATTCCTTTTTTTTATTTGCTTTGTATTTTGCAGCTTCAACATCATCATGAAAACCATCTCCATTTGCAATTTCTATTCCAAGAAATATTGCATCTTCAATTTTCACTTTTTATTATTTCTTTGAATTTTTTTTTATTTATGAAGATATACATACTAACACAATAATTATTTGGGTTTGCTGAACTCAAATAAGTTTGAGAGAACGCATAATCTCTAACATATTCGATTTACATTCAATTTAAATATCATACATATTAAATTTTGTAAGATAATATATTTATTTTTATGGAAGATATATCACTCGATTTCTGTTGTTTTATTTTTTTTTAGTTTATTATAAAACATTTATGATTTTTTTTTTATTTTTAAATATTCTAATCCCGCGTTTGACGCGGGATAAAATCTAGTTTCACATTACATAAAGAAGCAACAAACAAACAGAAAACCAGCCAGTACACAAATGGCAGATATAAAAAACTTAAATTAAGATTTAAGTGACTGAAACCGCAAAGTAAGTCACTTAAATCTTAACCGCAAATTCATATCCTTGAGGCAATGTAAGTGACTGAAACCCGTAGGGTAAAGTAGATTTAAGTTGCGGATCATGTTAGAGAATTGTCATCCAAAA